GGCTGCCGTCAGCAAGCTCCTTTCTGGAAGGGCTCGCTGCATAGCGAGGAGGGCCTGGTGAAACGCCTAATTTATAGTACTTTATTTCCTTGCAGTAAAAGCGGAAGGGTTATTACCCCAGCGGGATCCTAATGACTTTTCCTGGTAACTGGCTTCTTCCCTCAGATTTTTATGGGGGATAGGCAGGAGAAACAGTGGAGAGGGTCTTCAATGGTGAGGATGCTTAACAGCCCAACAGCCATCCAGGAGATGAAAGACACCACCACACCCTTTAGCTGGGGGTCTCCTGGCCACCCTGGGCCTTCAGCCCAACCCACTGCAGAACAACGCATTTACTGACCCTACTGCCATCTATGGAAATACCCCACTGGTGTTTCCTTACTACCAGTTGTCCACCTATCACTCTTCTCATGGCCACCATCCTGGCTACAGGGCACCAAGCTTCCAGCCACTGGGGAAAGACCTGGGAAACCAATAGGACCAACAGAGGCAGAAGGTTGAGGGCATAAAGTGGAGTAGCAGAGGGGATGGAAACAACAGCACAGCAGGAGGGAGCTGCTCGTTGCTGTCCCTTTAAGCACAGGCGAGGACAAGAGCTGCATGATCTGACACCAGGGACTGCAGTACTTTCAACCCAGAAGGCAAGATCCTGCTCCAAAAACCTAAGGTGGGGCGCAGAGGGCCCAACTCGCCTTTCAAAGCAGAAAGGGAAGCCTGGTCCATGCTGCAGGGGTGGAGGGGGGAGCAGCCAAATGGAAACTAACCCCGCTAACCATGAGCTCACCCTGCCTTTTCTGTCAGAAGCTGGCTCTGCTCCCACTGCAGAGACCTCCACGAGCCAGCCATTTACTCTGCTCCAGCTGGAGTTGGTTCAAGAAAAACACTACTGAAGAGGTTTGAAAAGCCTAACCTGGTCCCAGAAAGAGGCTAGTATTCGCTTAGTGATGGTTATACAAGCGTTCCTGTCTTGCTTCTGCAGTAGCTGCTCCCTGCCTCCGTGACCCATCTGCAGCCACCACCCTGCAGCAAGGGAGGCAGCAGAGCCCACTTCTGCCTCACACTCCCTTAATGGAAGAGCTCCTGGAGCAGGTTTCCAGGCTTCCTACCTGTCTTCCAGGCTGAGATGTTTGACTTAGGCAAGTCATACTGCCATTTCTGCCATAACTTTGTGAAACAGGCTTCAAGAAAACAATGACTAACACAAGATTCTGTGAAGAACAACTATCATTGTAACACGTTTACTGTGTTGGGAGAAAAGTTTTTAGCTGCCAGCTTCCCTGCTTAGTTTGTGTGTTTGCACGTTCCCAACAGCACATAGCTTTCACACTGCATGACCAGTGCAACTCTACAGCAGGTGGCTGAACTCTTGCCAACTGACTTTCAGAAAAAGCTGCTTTTAATAACACTGACCCACTCCTTTTCCCTGGCTGTCATTCTACAGCAGGAAGCTCGATCATTTAGCTGTCTCAGGTGCAGTGCTTAGCTTCCTAAATTAAATTTTATGGATGTAAACTAAGGCCAGACTGTGGAGCTACGATGTTTCCCCTTACATACAGCGTGACGTCCACCAAGTTACCTAATCTCTCACTTTGTTTCTGCTGGCAGGCTCTTCGGGGTTTTAGCAGCTCTAAACCCAGCAGACAGCAAGACAAAAAGAAAAGAGTAATAAAAAGCAAACAAGCACTACTGCAACACAACTCATGCTGGCTTTATAACAGAATCATAGAATGCTTAAGGCTGGAAGGGACCTTAAAGATCATGAAGTTACAACCTCCCATCCACGAGCAGGGACACCTCACACTAGAACAGGTTGCACAAAGTCTCATCCAACCTGGCCTTGAACAACTCCAGGCAGGAGGCTTCCACAATCTCCCTAGGCAACCCATTCCACTGCCTGACACTGGAGACCACCTGTGAAAGAACTGTTTTTTACAGAACAGGTGAAAGTTTAGCTGGTGCTACTAACAGAAGGCCCAACAAGAAAGGTCACTGCCACCTCCAAAATCTTTGGGGTCAGCACTTTTGAAGGGTCACTTCAATACCTGTCTCTGAAAAGCATCAGCACAGGTAAGTGTCTACTGCACAATTCACTGTCACCACCAAAACCAGACACAAGTTTCCCTCCCAGTAGATCAACACATAGTGTGATATAACATACACTGCAGAACAACTTCTGGTTCTGGAACCTCATACACAAAATACATTTCTTATTTACATTCACTTCTCAATTTTTATTCTATTTCTCGCATGGTCTTCAAATACAGTTTTACAGGTCGTTTTTTTCTGCTACAGATACTGTTGACCTAAAAACAGATTAATGAAAGTGGCATTCCAACCTTAATGAAACTTCATAACCATGAAAGATATGTCAGCATATCACTTTACAATCCTAGAATGATGGTATTGGCCTGACATTCCATAGGCTTATACAATTATCTCCTATAATAATAACAAAGTCATAGGAAGAAAAAATGTGGCAACTCCTTAAAAGCCAAGAAATAAGGCCACAAGCATCCTATGCTGTAATGTTACGCATCCAGATAAAATTAGTTGACTCTGGTATCCATGACGAAACAAAACTCTCCCACCTGATAAATCAAGGTATCAGCTACTCAACATGCACTCAAAGCTGTATAAAAACTAGTGGCATTCAGCTCTGACTTACATGAAATCCCATAGCACAACCCAGTACCTCTCTCTAAAAACAAAATGAACTTGTTTCAAATTAAATACTTCGCTACCGCATTAAAAAAAAAGTTCACATTCTGCAAAGGAAAAAAAAAAAATAAATCCTGCGTGTGACTGCACCAGAAGACCAAATGCAGGGTCTCCTTACAGGTTGCAGAAAACATTCTTGCAGTCAATGCCATCCATTATAGGTTGCCTAACTTCTATGCAGCTGGAGGCTTGTTAAACGGACTGAAATTCTTTTGTACACCACTGAAAAAAACCCAGAAAAATTAAAAAGGAAGATAAAGACAGCTGATGGCAGCAGGGGAAAGCAGCAAGGTATATACTGAGGTGTATACCACTGGCCAATTACGTATCGGGGACACTGGGACTTCTTTGAAATACCAATTTCATAAAAGATGCAACCACCTCACTATCAGATCCCATACCACACTGATTCCATCCTATAGCCAAACACATCAGACCTGGGTAAAAACATTAAACTCCTGGAACATTTAAAAGTAGGTAACCATTTAAATAATGTGTAAAAATGTGCTTATTTTGGCATTTCTTATAGAAAAGTTATTTGATACAAATGTGCAGGACTTGAAGACCCTGATTTAATCAAACTAGTTTAAACAGGCTTTGAAACATGGTGACTGTTCCAAGGAAAAGTCCCAGCTGCGGGCCAGCTCTCTCCCTCTCACCGTCTTCCATCCACAATCCCGTGCAAATGTTACCAAAATTACCAGGTTTGGCAGACCACCCTGTGAATTGCTGTTTCAGTCCCAGGAGAATGATGACAACCTCAAGCGGTGACAAACTGACGTCTGAAGGAAGGATCGTTTGGGATCCACTCCCCTTACCCAAGATGGTCAGTTTCCAGCCCAGGACATGAGGCACAATAAGAAAGGTCAGTGCTGAGGGCAGATTCGTTCTCCATTGTGGTTTTAGATTATTCAAAAGTGCCATCTTGGACCTATACCTTTTCACTTTTCAAAAGAAAAAGTTACAAAACTGGTAAACAAAAAGTTAGTCAGCATACAGCTAAGTTTATATACACTGAAATTTACAAGTTTCTCATTAAGTGACTTCTGCCACAGACCACTGCACATTTGTCCCTAACAAAGCACAAAGCTTGAACCAATGGTCATTAGAAGTGACAACGGGTCATTGCTTTATCAACAAGCATAAAGATAGTAAAAAATAGAATTGTAGCTACTTATCTTTAAATTTGCTGATTGACACAAGCAATCCCTCCCATTTCTGCAACTTCCAGTTGCCCATCCTGCTCTATGACAGAGAAAAAAACCTGCATCTTTAATTCTGCCAGAGAACACTTTTCTGTTGACATATGAATGCAGAGAACTGTCATCAACCACAGCGCTGACTGAGAGGGATTCCTCTGAGAAGCTATAGCCCATGCAAGATTTCTTGGCACTTCACACAGGACCAGGAGAGGACGAGGTTTCTCTTTGTTAAAACAGTGTTTTCAGCAGCATTATCCTCTTCCAACAAATTACAGTCTGAATGGTGATGGGTGATTTTCGCATAGCCCCTTCTACCAAGCTGGCTTATTGCTGGCTTTGTGCAGCTAGACCATATGAAGATCCCCACCACTACTTGCCCAGCTGTTAAGGGACTACAGTACTGGAACAGTTCGTTGTCAAGCACTTCACAGGCTTCTTCCAAGGATAACAACATCCTTTGGAAATCCTTCCATTTTAGCAATTTCAAAACAACCCAACTTGCTGTAAAATTCCAGGATTCTTTTATCATCTGGTCTCACTTCACAAAAAGCCCCACGGGAGCCTGAAGAAAGAAGAAAGGAAATGAAATGCTATAGGAAAAGAGTTACTGTAAAAAGTGCAGACATCAAATATTACTAGAGTTCCAACCTATTTTAACATTTAAACCCAATGAAATCACTGATCCAATTCCATATGGAACATAGTGCCCAAAAGAGATCAGATTTATGGCAAGACAGCTGACCACCCCCTAAAGGGGCTGCACTTTGCAGAAATCTTATCAATATGACAAACCCTCTGTGCACCTTTTATTTCACATAAAAGCATCTCGAAACTCTGATGTTGGCTCAGAAAACAGAAGTAGAAGCAGGCACCAAATCGTGCAGAGGCATTGTGAACCTCAGGTGCACAGTAAGGCAGACAGCCAAGTGCTTCCCCATATTGTAGGTTTTGGTAATTACCCACCAGTGCACACTGATGCACATCAGAAAAAGCATCATTCCCAATGCCAGCAGGGGAAATATAAACACTTCTGTGTTGTTCAAAATGTAAAAATGTGTGCTCTCATTGCCAAATTGCTCCCTTGGATCTTTCTATTTTCTAATTTGTAGGATAATGGCTAAAGTGAAAAGCTACCTTTTACCAAAGACAGCTATCTGAAAGCTTTTATAATTATTTACCTAAATCTAGAGTGCCAAGTATGTCAGGAATCAAATATCTCAGGCTGACATGCAAATACAGGATGTTAATATAATCATCCCAAGTTTGCACTGCATCCTAGAACTAACATGTAATTAGGAAAAAAGGAATTTTGAGTGCAAGTAGCTTACCATTAGCCTTTAGGGAAGAGAGCAGGCAGGCCATCATACTTTTGGCCACGCTTGGATCTGTCACTTTTTTATGAATATCAATCTTTATCAATGATGGGAAGTTGGCAAGAAATGATTCTGGCAGTACTTCTTGCTCTTCATGGAAGCTTAGCATAATTTTCTGAAAAGAATATAAGAAACGGACATTTAATAATTATCCCGCTTTTAGTTTTAATTCATCTTTATTAAAGGAGCTTGCTTTCCTCACAGAGTAGACCTATAAACCAGCATGCTTTTCAGCTACACTTCTGATGGCCACTTTGTTCCTTTCATGCTGAATTGCTCTGTCTACTCCAGATAAAAAGACAGACTACAGAACCACCTCAGGCCAAAAGAAAAATGCAAGATTCCTTGCATGGCTTCTCAGTTACTCACATTTCAAAGTGAGAAAAACTGCAAGCTAACCCATAACCAACAGTTTGTGCACACAGATTGCTTTTCTTTGCATGGGCAGTTTTAGCCCTAAATACCCTAAGCTTCCACACATCTTCGGTTCACAAGTCTGGAACTATCTCTCATGTCCACACAGTTATCTCATTGACTATTTGCCTCAACAAAAGCAAGTTTTTCTCTAGCTTAAAAGAAGCCTTATTGGTTACTAAAGCATGTTCTTGATTGCTAAAGACTGTTCCAAGTGTCCAGGAAGGTCTCTGGGAATATGACATCAGATGTTAACCTCATGCAGCTCATGGGAATGGAACAATAAAGTGAAGTAATGCAGAAGCAGACAAAGGCAAATCTGAAATATACTCAAGTAATTTCCCCTGGTTACTGAACTTAAAAACCTTTAGGGAGCACTGCCTCAAGTGAACAAGCCACCAAACTTCACTTCCTGTATAACTATCATAACAACCCAAACTAAGACTTCGTTGCTCAAGGAATAATAACATCAGCAACCCCCACATTCTTCTTTAGTCAAGTTTAAATGCAATAATTTCAAATCCATAAACTGCTATCACGCAAACTGTTGCAGGGAGAACCTCTGTTCAAAGTTAATATTTCAAGCTTGAGCTACTTCAGGTTCAGAATCACACCAGCTCCTCTGGGCTTTTATCACAGCTATACAGACAAAAGCCCAGAGAGCAGGTTCAAAGTTAGCCATGCTGCCCTCAAGCACCAAGGAAGAGGTGATAACTGTTTCATCCAAGGACTGAAGTGCTACAAGAGGTAAAACAGGTTATCCAAGAGTGGGGGGTACAGGTGGGGCCAAGAAGCAGTTAAGAGAGACAATGCATTCATCTCTTGTGATCAATAGTAACTAATACCAGGAAAAGCAGATACCAGTTAAACTTTCCTAACAGGAACCTAGATAAAACTGTTAGACAGCTTCTGGGCCTGCCACTCCTACAGCTTTGTCCACAACCTTTTTCCACAGGCAGGTGTGAATCGCAGGTGTGAATCTGCACCTCTTAGTACTAAACACATTCCTTTACTTGGCAAGAATGCATAATTTTTCACTATTTCTAGCAGCTCAGTGACATAATTTTTCTGATTTTTTTCTAAAAACAATTCAAGATATTTTAGTGAGATGTCATTTTGCACCATTTACAGCTGTCACACTCCACAAATACCTCATAGATTTTAACATCAAAACCACGTGCTCTTTAATTTGTTTTCCATACTTAAACTGATGTGATTATCAGGGGTTAGTCTCACCTGCAGCAGAGGGAAACTAATATCTCATTTCACAGGAGAACAGAGCAGAAGCAATCCTTCATTTTCAAAATACACTTTTCTCTAGATTGTCTTATATTTACTGCATTGATTGCCACTAAAGTACACCTCATGGGTGTATTTCAACACAAAGCTGTATCTGAATGACAGTGAATTGTTTTCCTGCCACCATTCTAAGATGTCAGACGCCACACTCACTGAAGACTTGAGAAAGGTATGAAAACTGAATAACACGGAAGCTCAGAATGAAGAAGGAAAACAAAGACCTGCTTTGGAAAGAAGAGTTCTGACCCTGTGAGTTATACCAACCTCAGCCTCAGACAGCTCCTTGTCACTGTTTGGTTTAGTATATTTTTCTTGCATGAAGGGGATCCAAGACATTTTGCACTTTTTAATGAAAGGAGTCACATCAACCGTTCCCAAAGCATAGCCACATATGCCATCTTCATCTTCTAAGACGAAGCAGTAGTCCAGGCTGAGGGTGAGCAGACCTCCTACTAACCTACAGAAAAAGCATCCAAATTCAGTCAGGAGAAGATCACTTTGAACAAGTATGCTCTTCAGGTACTCTGGAGGAGAGTCTACAGTCAAATAAAGAAGGGATAGAATCCTCCAGTCACGAAATTAGTTCCTACAAAGCATTAATTAACAAACCGATCAGCTGTCAAAGCTCAGCTATGAACAACACCTGCACTTTAGGATCCCGTAATTTAATTCCATAAACACTGCTCTTCTGACTCACCAGAGAGACAAACTTCCTTCACCTTCTGCCCTCAGTTCTTCTGCTGCCATTACCACCCTGTTTTTCCACCTTCTGTTTTTTAATACCAGCTACACGTCTTTTCTTAACTACCTTCTTGTCACTCACAGAGCAGCCTTTTTACAAAGTCCTATCTAAATTAAACACTTGAGACATACAAAAAATTACTCAAAGTAGGTCATTTTGCAGTTCAGATCTCACTTGTCATTGCTTATTCTTTTTAAAAGTTGGTACAGGTAATCTGTAACATATTTCAGAAAAAAATCTCAAGGCAGTCAGCTGGGAGACTGAGACATATGGCATCTTTAAGAAACCCAACACCAGTTTCCTGAGGCATGCAGAGGGCAGTTTGTGGTGGTGGGTTTTTCTTGTAAATAAAATATTCCTTGCTTTCTTCCCACACATGCACTTTTAAAAATTCAAATTAAACACAGTGTAAGGACTTCATCCTTTAGAATCACCTTTGTAGGTCACTAATTGCTAATACATACTTGTCTCCAATTAAATCTGGTAAACTATGGAAGGGTTGATCAGCTCCATCAGCATACATTTCTCTGCAGATCTTATATACAGATGCCTAAGAGGAAAGAACAGATGATTTCAAGTCATCACTCACATTTCAAAAGCTAAAATCTTTGTGTTGAAGAGATTTCATCAACAGCTCCCCTGTAAACTTGTACTGACAGGCATTTGAGTTACACAGAATAAGAGTACCCATCTATGAGAAAGGATCTGCCCATTTCTCCCATCCGCAAGTAACTCTTAAAGTTGCCCTTCAAAAGCATTGCTGTTAAGTTGGATGGCTGGAGGTCAACCTCCTGCACATTGTAACAGCTCAAGTTTAATACCACAGTCAGCCCAGCTCTTAAATCAAGAACCTTGCTACAAACACCCTTTTCAAAACCTCCAATATGTATATGCAACAATTTAACCACTGTGACAGACAGACACACTCTGACCTTCTGCATGTTAAAAGGCTTTGGCGGAACCTCTTTAAAGGGTAAACTTTTATCAGATTAACTTTAAATAAGAAACTTTACATTTTCCAACTGAAAGGCTTTATATTTGCTATGTCCCTGGCCTCCTTTCATAAAAAAGGAACTTCTCAGAAAAAATATTCCTTATGAATGCATGTTTAGCTGCATCACCAACTGTTTAGATGGTTTATAAATATCATTTTCATTGCCTACAAAGGAACAAAAGAGCTTAGGTACAGCCCTGCACTAAGGTATGGAAACGGCTGTTTTACTGCTTGTGACAACATCACAGGACAAAGCTAACCTTAAAGTAGCAGGTGAAAGACTTGTCTTTTTCAGCTAGTCCTATCTGACTGGCTTTAAAGTCAGGATTCATTTGAGCCACTACAAATTCAACCTAGATACTTATGTTTCAAAGGAAACATCTCAATGTAGCTACAAGTGCAAAAGTTCAAGTTATATTAATATTGGTACTGTTTAAACTACATCCATAAAGAGTGTTAACTAACTACTCTTCTTGTTAAGCTAAACAGGATGAAACTATAGTATAATCTGTTCAGCA